CTTGCTGTTTCTGTGCTACTTCATTGCCTCCCAGAGTTTGGTTTTTGTTTGTTTGTTTGTTTGTTTTTTTTTTGGTCTTTGATGAGATATGATGCCACCTACTTCATTTGGGGCCCTGTCATTCCCATGGCTATCATCAAAGAGCAGTTGGGACAGAGTCCTCTGAATCTTCTAAGAATGCTCAGCAAGAGAGGAAATGGTGGTAAATACAGGGGATAAGAGAGAATTCAAGATCCTGGGGCACTTTCCTCTGCAATATTCCTCCAGCCTGGTATGGAGGATCTGTCCCTGGTAACTGTCAACTGTATGTTTTCCCCACGTGAAGACTCTTCTTAGTCTCACCAAGTTTTGTTACATTTTCCTTCTTTAAATCCTCCCCAAAGAAATTCTAACTGGTGGATTCCTGGAGTTACTTGTTTCCTTTTCAAGATGTTTCAATGTTGATGGAATGAAAGCAGGGTTTAGGTTGGACACCCACTCTTCTCTGCCTCTTGTGTTGTTATTGCTCATTGTGAATATAAAACTTTGAATATACTTTCTTTTATAGTATGAAATATTTCAAATAGAAACTACAGAGAATGACATTACATTCATGGACTCACCACTTAATTCTACAGAATTCTAACATTGTGCTATAATTACTTTACATAATTTTTAGGACTAAAATACTACTGATATAGAGAAAACCTCGTTATGTACTCCACAATCTTAATCCCCTCTCTCCTTAGAGGTAGCCAATATCTTGAATTTGGTATTTATCATTCCTAGCCATGTTTTTATATTATTACTAGATATGTATCTATAAAAGATATACAGCATTGGTTTAATTTTTTTTTTTTTTTTTTTGAGACAGTCTCACTTTGTTGCCCAGGCTAGAGTGCCATGGCGTCAGCCTAGCTCACAGCAACCTCAAACTCCTGGGCTCAAGGGATCCTCCTGCCTCAGCCTTCCGAGTAGCTGGGACTACAGGCATGTGCCACCATGCCCAGCTAATTTTTTCTATATATATTTTTAGTTGGCCAATTAATTTCTTTCTATTTATAGTAGAGACAGGGTCTCGCTCTTGCTCAGGCTGGTTTCGAACTCCTGACCTCGAGCAATCCGCCCGCCTCGGCCTCCCAGAGTGCTAGGATTACAGGCGTGAGCCACTGCGCCCAGCCTGAGTGGTTACTTCTAACTAGCATCTCATGAACTCTTCCCGGTCATAGGCAGGCTGTGTAGTTTCCTGAATTTTGCTCTGGTGTTGTCCTTAATAGTATTTTATCTTATGATCAAAGATAGGAGCCAAACATGGTTTAGCTTACTGATTCTGCAAATGCTATTTCTATTAATTCCTTGGCATAGTGCAGTTTGTATGATGGCTGAACTCTTATTAATAAGCTTCCTCTTTCTGAATTCTGCTGCTCCATAGGGGGCTGGGAGGCTGCAAAAGTGACCATGTGAAAAATCCTTGCATTTGTAGTTTAATGAAGAGAACATTATAACACCAAAACTCTATATTTTAAATGAAGAGCTATGTGTCTTCCTATTATTTCTCCTCCCCCTTTTATTTTTTTCTCCATGTGAACAACTGTTTGTGTGTGTGTGTGTGTGTGTTTGTGTGTCACATTCATGTCACTTCCGTTTTCACCCCCCTCACCCCCTGAGTGAGGTGCAGGATCAGCCCTCATCGTGCATATTTTGTGGTCAAATTGACTTTTGTAGGCTGCTGAAATTGTTAGAAAAAAAATGTGGGGCCTTTCCCAATAAGTACCCACAGAGGCACTACCCTCTAACTACTCTTTAACTCAGAGATATCCATCACACACTAGCCTTCTAGACAACACAAAGACGGATGCCTCTCCCTTCATGTCATTGGTCAATGGACCAGTGATGCCTAAAGAAGAAGAACTACCACACTTCCAGGCTGTGTGAATCTGGACTGGAACACAAGGAGTAAGAGAAAAAACAGTCAAAGATGGTGCTGCCACACCATGGAAATCCTGGTGTTCCTCCAACTCAATGATCTAGAGGTGGAGGCCATTTCACCCCTTGCTCAGAGGGGCGAAGGCTAGTAAGAGGCTTACTTACTTCCTCATACTCAGACCAGCACTGAATCCTAGCCCAACACACACACTCGACAGAGAGGAAGCCTTATTCTTGTACAAACTGGATTTCTTCTAAAAAAGCAAAAGACCAGAGACAGCTTTCAGAAGGATTTGTCTTATCGGAAATAAGAGCAGAGGCCAAGATTGAAGCAGATGCTGGGTCTGAGCAGAGAGTGTATCCACTGAGAGCTTACTCGGTGTGCTTTACTCAATTAAATGAAGGACATCTCGACGTGGTTTATTGGGCTGCCTCCGATCCCATTGACTGGTAATACTATTCAGTTTGTTTAGGGTTTTGTTTTGTCTTGTGTAATTTGAGTCTTTGATTGTGAAGAGCTATTTAATTGTAATTCACCATGAGAACAAATGTGATGTTATTAAAGGGATCTCAAGGAGTTGGCAGTTCCTGAGAATTGAGTACTTTTACTTGGTTGCCACCACTAGGTAAACGAATAACTGTAATATTAAAAGGAATCTCTTGGCCAGGTGCGGTGGCTCATGCCTGTAATCCTAGCACTCTGGGAGGCCGAGGCAGGAGGATTGCTCAAGGTCAGGAGTTCAAAACCAGCCTGAGCGAGACCCCGTCTCTACTAGAAATAGAAAGAAATTAATTGGCCTACTAAAAATATATAGAAAAAATTAGCCAGGCATGGTGGCACATGCCTGTGGTCCCAGCTACTCGGGAGGCTGAGGCAGGAGGATTGCTTGAGCCCAGGAGTTGGAGGTTGCTGTGAGCTAGGCTGATGCCATGGCACTCTAGCCTGGGGCAACAGAGTGAAACTCTGACTCAATAAATAAATAAATAAATAAATAAATAAATAAATGGAATCTGTTTGGGGCTTGAGCTGAAAATGAATGTTGGGACTAATTGGTTGTAAACTCTCATCAGTTTGTTATTCCCCTGAGAGACCAGTTAAAGCAGGAAATCAGGGAAGAGAGCCATGTGGCAGGGTATGGGGAAAGGTTTGCACCTTTGCCCAATTTTCTCAAAGGATCATTTACAAAATATTGAACTAATCTACCACCAGAAGATAGTGGCATACACATGGTAGATAAGAGGCAAAATGATCATTCTGAGTGTCCCCTGGTGTTCCTTTAATCTATTTTTGTCTCCCCAGTATGATAATAGAACCTTTTACACCACAGGAAGAGCAAAATAACAGTGTAGATAGCTCCCAGGCTTTGATAAAAACCACTCCCTTGCTTTCCTAGTGAGCAATAAGCTATGCTTGAAAAGTAGAAAAAACTGCTATTTATCCTGCCTCCGTAGAAGCAAAAGCATAAGGCGTTTAGTTAAAAAAATAATCCCACCACCCCATAGGAAAAACTCCGCCTCTAACAAACTTGAGGAGAGGACTGGTGATTTTTCGTTACTTTCTCAGTGCTCCATTTTTATGATTGTATTTGTTTTCACATGTGTGTGTGTGTGTGTGTGTGTGTGTGTGTGTGTGGGTGTGTGTGTGTAATGGAATAGCTATGTTGCTCAGGCTGGTCTCCAACTCCTGGGCTCAAGTGATCCTCCCACTTCAGCTCCTGGGTAGCTGGGACTACAGGAACCTCACTCCTATGCCTGGCTTATTTTCACTTTATTTTTTAATGAAAGTTTGGAATTAGTAATATATAAGATTGTGTATAAAATTGTAGGTGATAACTGATATTGAAATGTTGCTTGGGTAAATAAAAAAGCCAATGGTGGCCAGGCGAGGTGGCTCATGCCTGTAATCCTAGCACTCTGGAAGGCTGAGGCGGGCAGTTTGCTGAAGGTCAGGAGTTCGAAACCAGCCCTGAGCAAGAGCGAGACCCATCTCTATTAAAAAAAAACAAAAAACTAGAAAGAAATTAATTGGCCAACTAAAAATTATAGAAAAATTAGTCCCGGCATGGTGGTGCATGCCTGTAGTCCCAGCTACTCGGGAGGCTGAGGCAGGAGGATCACTTGAGCCCAGGAGTTCGAGGTTGCTGTGAGCTAGGCTGACGCCACAGCACTCTAGCCCAGGCAACAAAGTGAGACTCTGTTTCAAAAATTAAAAAAAGCCAATGGTGACTTTCTGGAACTTTCTTTGCCTCTCTGTATTTCAGTTACTTAGCTGAATCTGTCTGGAGTATTGTAAGTTTGGGGAGGCTCAATAAGTTACTCTTCATAAATGAACAGAGCTGGCGTCTATAGCAATAAGAAAGTTGGGGACTCACTTTGCTTTCCGTGTGAAAAAAGTAAAGAAAGTTGGGGAAAAGGTCGAAAACCAACTACTCCCTCCACTTCTAAAAATTGTATTCTCAACTTTAGAACAAAGCTCCTATCCTTTGTAGCTCAGCCAGTGGGTGATGGGCAAAATCAGCTGGGCGGCAGTTGTGTGAGTCCAAAACTGCAGGTGCAGCCTCCGTATCCTTATTCGACCCCTTGGTTACAGACCCCAGTGGGAGAATGTTTGAAGAATTACATTCACAAGTCTAGGAAACTGGGAACTGAAAGCCCAATATCTGTCTCAGTGGAGTTCTAGCACCTGCATTATCCCTTCTGGGGATATCAGGGTCAATAGCTGTGCAGAGACTTTTGCTGTGCACAGACGCTACATGTATCATAAGAGGGTGAATAGTGTAGAGCTGCCTCTACACATTACTGAGCACACATGTACATGCCATTTGACATCTAGAACATTCTATTGCCTTACCCAAGAACCCAGTTTACGTGAGCTTGCAACGTAGAACTAATGCCCCCCAATTCAGTGTGCATCCATTATACCTGAAAACTGACAGAGCTGGGGACTGTGGAAGGAGGATGTCAAGGTAGGAAGAAGGTTCTTTGTCAGCTTTGCACATTTTTATTCCATTTGCAACTAGGTAGCTAGGCTGAGGGGGAACCAGGAGCGATGAGGATTAATGTGCTGGGGCCTTAACAACGTTCATTCTCAACAGCACACAAGCAAGCTCCTGAAAGAAGCAGGTATGGCTGCGGTGATACTGGAGAGCATCTTCCTGAAACGATCCCAGCAGAAAAAGAAAACATCACCTCTAAACTTCAAGAAGCGCCTTTTTCTCTTGACCGTGCACAAGCTTTCCTACTATGAGTATGACTTTGAACGTGGGGTAAGTTTCTCCACTGTCAAACTTGAGTTTAAGATTTTAAGTTGTAGGCCTTAGATCTTCCCTTAGGAGAGAGGTCCATCTTCCTTGGTAGGAGGACGGACGTGGAACGGACTTAAGTATATCCAAACTCAGCAAAATATTTCCTAGCCCAGAACTAGCTACAACCACGCTGAGGCAAAAATTCAAAGGTGCTTAGAAGCCACAGGGAAAATCTTACTATGGAATCTTGCAATTGATGAGCACTCATTAAATGATTGTTAAAAATAAAATCTGAGAGTTGGGAATTGCTCCCTTATTTCTTATGACAAAGGCACATACAGTTATTTAC